AAAAAAAAAGAATGTTCAGCTCACATGTTGTTCATGAAAACAAAAATTAAAATGCTTTATTTTCCCTAAATCTAATTCAGTATATATATCAGTTAGATGCAGTGATGAACGGGGTCCACTAAACATCCAAGATGGCTGCTAGTTGAGTTATATTAAAATAATGTTACTTAATTAAAATGCTAAAAATGAGGATGTAAGCCTACAACTTGTAAACTGACATGTTTCACAAATGCACCTTTTTCTCCTTCCTATTACTGCAAGTTTCATCACAAGTCTCATGATTTTTATTGACAGCCATGATGACAGATTCACAAAGGCAAAAGTTTGGTATCAAGCTTTTAGCATTTTATTCAAAAGGTGACCAGGATTCTGTACAGCAGGCAAAGGGAGATTTCTAGGGAACAGGAGCTTTCCTCTCCTCATCCCTTTATCTCTCTCTCTCTTTGCATCCTCCTGGGGAAAGGGGGATTCGAGTCGGGGAAAGAACAGATGACAAAAAATGTAAATAAATTATGGAAGGAAAAAAAGAAGCCATGCAGGAGAGAAAGAGAGTAGAGGAACTAGGGAGGAAGAGGGAAGTGTTTTTATTGGTGTCTCCGTCCCACGCAGAGACACTCAGAGGCCTGGGAGAATCACAGCCCCGCTGGGCTTTAACAGCTTGACAGACACAGACTGCAATGTGAGCCAGGGAGTCTGTCACCCCGAAAACATCTGCCCCTTCATAACGGCAAGACATGGAAGATGCAGCCTCTTAGATGTCTCTCCTCCTCTCCTTCCTCTTGTGCCCCTCTCCCTCTGCTCCACCTCTCCTCTTCCTCTCCTGGTCTGGCCCTCACTTGCTGGCCATGGTGTAGCAGCCGTGTGGGTGCCACTGCATGTCACGGATACGCCTCACAGATTGAAACTGAGGGCAACGGGCACCATACTCGTTAAAGTGTCTGTATTCACCCTTCTCCAGCAGGTACTGGCTGCCACGGTATCCGGGGTACTGATAGCCCACCCAGCTGAAGAAAACAAAGAGGTTAGTTTGTGCTCCGTTGATACTGTACTATGCATAAACTCAATTATAAATTTAAACCAGGGTTATTAAACTAAAAACATAAAAAAATATTTTTGTAAATAAAATATTTTTACAATATATTTTTTCTATTTTTAATTATTTTATTTCAGCTAGTTTCCAAGGCAAAACGTATCTTTTTAATTTATTTGTACTGAAATAAAATTAATAAAAACTATATATACTTAAAAAAACGAATTAAAATGACAAAACACAACAAAACTACTAAAACTTTAACTAAAATGAAAATGAAAATGGAGACTATAAATATAAAGTAAAACCATGAAAACAACATTTTGGAAAAAAAATAAATAAAATAAAATACTTTTTTTAAAACCTTTTTTAGTTAATGCACCCTTGATAATACACTATGTAAACTCATTTATATATATAAATCAGGGTTATTATAGTACACTAAAATCATTAAAATAAATAAAATATAAATAAATAATATTTTTACAATATAATTATATTGTTTCAGCTAGTTGCCAAGACAACATTACTCTTTTTCGTTAGTAACCTGATGTACTAAAATAACTAAAGATGAAATAAAAACTATATAGACATTAAAAAAACGAATTAAAATGACTAAAACTTTCAAAACTACAATAAAAATAAAAAGATATACTATAAATATAAAAACAAGTATAGTATCTCTATTATGCATCTAGTATCTTAAGCATCTTGTTGTGCAAGATATGTTAATGTTATATCTATCAATATTATCTCTTCTACGCATTTCTTCTAGTTTACAGTTTAATAAGTTCTTGACAGCCACGTTTGTCAGTACTGACAAGCTTTTGGGATCACCACAACCAGAAGTTTGACCAAGTGAAACCTTGGGCTAAAGATACTTTGCACTTACGTTCCACAGCTGACCATGATGCTGCCAACTCTGTCGGTGAATCCGTAAGAGAACAGACTAGGAACGTCATCATCCATGATCTCCATCTTGCGGCCCTTGTACTCGCCCACCTCATACAGGCAGATCTTGTGCTTCTCAGGGTCCTGCAGGAGAAAACGCGGTGAATGCGTTGTGAAAGCATTCATATAATAGGCCTAAAGTTGTGAGAGCATTGACACACCATTCTGACTGGTCTGAAGGAAAGCAGGTAGTCGTTCTTCTGGCAGTTGCTCCAAGAATCCCAACGAGGATACTCACCCTTCTCCAGGATGTACATCTCACCGCAGAAGTTCATCTGCTCAAAGCCCACAAAACTGCAGAGAGCACATGAAGAGGTGAGTGAGATTTGTTATTCGTTCTAAATCATACGTGTTTAATATAGATGCAGAGATGCTTACGGGCCACACTCCACACGTAGTGAGCGAACTCTGTCCATGCCCATTTCACAAACATTCATGCACTCAGCGTTAATCTCAATCATGCGTCCCTGGAAGTTCTCCTGGTCGAACACATACATCTAATAGAAAGAGAGAAACCTATTATTTGCATTTTAAATCGATGTCCAAGCAGACATTCACATGTGTATGTTTATCTGAAAGCTTTACCCTGTAGGACATCATGCCCATCTCAGACTTCTTGCTCTGGGCTGCCTTGCCGTCAGTCTGGGAGGCAGTCTTTTTTTCTCCACTGGAAGACATGGCACCTGGGGTAAAATTAATAATAGAGAATTAAAAGAAGGAATATTCATATAACTGTAATATGGCTCAGAAATGAGATTGAGAGAAATGAATAAAGAAATGGCAGGGCTGACCACTATAAAATATTTGATGCTGGAAGAGAGGGATGAAGTGTTTTAGGAGATGAAAAAGACAAAAAAAAAAAGTTTGGAATGGATGTAAGGGGGCTTTGGGGGAAACAAAGTGGTAGGGACAAAGGGAAGTGTGTTGGTGTTAATGATGGTGATGCAAATCAAAACTTCTTGCCTCTTATACTCTCCAAGCTGTTAGGTTAAAGTTGAATGTGTATGTGTGAGTGGATATTCTGCTTACCTGTGTTCAGTGAGTGTGTGTGTCCGTACCCAGGGTTCACGCTCAGAGTGTTTGCGTCTGACTGTGCTCTCAGCTCTTATACCCTGGCGCTGAGTCTGTGAGGATTACACTGAAACAATCAAACATGCCGTGTTCAGCATACTTCACAGAAAAGAAGCCCCTAATCATCAGCACAGAGTGAGAGAAAGAGTATATGTCAGAGGCAGAAAGGAAAATAATTCAGCAACCGAGTTCCACCTTCAAACATATCACCACACAAGCTTGGACATTCAAGCCTAATAAATAAACAATATGGGGGACAAAAAGTTATTTTTAGAGAGACTGGAATTGAACTAATAACTGAAGGTGACCCTTTTTTATACCACTTTACCAATGATTTAACAGTGGTTTACACAATTTTTATATTATCAGTACATTTTGGGCTAAGGATGTATCATATTTGTAGCACTGGGGAGACAAACAAGCAATAAATACATAAATAAAAGGATTTAATTATTACAATTAAAATATACTTTATAAATTAGTGTTATCCTGGAAACATACACCGAAAAATATGGTTGTTCTACAAATCATTATATAAATAGAGTAAATAATTATTATAACAACATGCTCTAAAACAATCTAAAACAAATAAATGCAATATAAATGTATAAAAACATTGTGCAACACAAAAGATTAGTGAACAATCGTCTGTTAATTTAACATGAATGAACATTTTCCCCTTAGGGTCAGTTATGGATTCGGTCATGTTGATAAAGTAAAGTAAGACTTTCCTTCACATTACTGCACATTCAAGGCAAGGGATGATTTTTAAAGAATTCAAACTAATTGTAAAGTTGATTTGGGTTCAGCTGATATGTATTTATTTATATATTGATCCAACCATTGATGTCCCAGTGAAAATCAGAAGTGGTCAGTATGGGTTTATTTAATCACACTTTGTAGCTACTTTTATATTTGGTCTCCCCAGTCTTGAATGTCACACCCTTGCAGCAAAAACGGTTAACTTTTCTCACTGCGCCCATAGCAGCTCAGATACTCCATTTCAACCCCACACTCAGCTGGAGCAAGTTCACTCAGCTAATCCCAGTATTTTGCGCGGATTGTGAGCAGGAGTGCTGACCTGCGCGAACATACTGGGACCAAACCCTTTGTGTGCCCTGCTTTCACCCAAAACACTGCACTGCGCTTGCCAGTGAATGGGCTCACAACACCCATGTGACACTTCTATAGTATGTGCTGAGCTGGCGACCCTGTGGTCTGTCCCGCGAGCCCATCAGAACGCACTTCGCGCGCACGCGGCGGCCGGTATAAAACCGAAGCGCCAGGTTCTCTCAAAGCTCCACGCGAAACCGGCGTTAAGGCGCGTGCCACACTCGAGCTCAGTGACTAAAACGGTAAGATCCCATTACATCTCACGGAGCTCATGGCACAATTATACATTTATTATGGCCTACTTTACAAACATCATTTTATGGCCACATTATGAGAATGGCGAAATTGTACTACATTTTATTACTAAATAGCTACTTTATTAATAAAGTAAAAAAAATCATCTAATATATCGATTATTGTTTGTTTTAAGTAACTTTTTCAAATCTTTAATAATGATAAAGAACAGTTGACCTTTATTACCTTGTTTTGTGTTATTTATTTGACTTCATTTCACAATTTGCAACTAATATAATTGATATTTATTATGGTCTGTTTTTTACGTGTGTGTTTTCACCTTCTTCTTGTAATACCTATGTCATACCTTTGTCATTATACAAATTTATGTCCTCATTTGTCACAAAAACGCACGCACACACACACACACACACACACACACATATATATAAATGTTATTATACTAATGCAATAGATCAATAGAATATGGTATCACCTTAATCTGGCATACAAACTCAATTTTCATTTAAGTAATTTGTTTGAGGAACTTTTGCATGTATATTATAGGAAAACACTTTAAAAAGGATATACTTAATGGATATACTGGTAAATATTTTTTTATATGTGGTTTATATGTCTGTTAATATGTCTATTTAGCTTTATTTTTATTTCAGTTCTAGTATTAGTAATTTTGGTACTTTAACTTAAACATATTTTATTTCAGTTAGTTGCAGAGGCAACATTTCAAAGTTTTTTTTTTATTTTACTTTTTTTTTTATTTGAGCTTTAATTTAATTAACAGAAACATTTTTCAATAGTTTTAGTTAACAACAACAGCACTGATATAATCTCTTGAATATGTGGATATTTGGCTATTGATCCTTGTGTGTTTCCGAGTTTCTCAAGAGGTGTGGTGGGGTCCAGTGCATGTGAGACAAAAGGCATGTATGTCGTGTTTTTAAGCATGAGGCCTTCTGTGCTGCATCTTTGCAATGGAGAATCATTGAGAGAGTCAGCAGTCTCAGATCTTGCTTTGCTGTAGCTGTCCTCCATCAGTCTCTCTCCTTTTGACATGGTGCGACCTGTGAATAAATAATAATTAAAACAGAGAAGTATTAATAAAAGCGGATCGTTATTTTCATGTTATTGCTAATAAAGAATAAATGGCCCAATATCAAATTGTTAGTCTATTAAATCTATATCATCTTGTCTAAATAAAAAAAAAAAACAATCACTTAAATAGTCAGGGTTGTTACAGTTAACTAAAGCTAAAGATTTTTGTTAATCAAAATAAAGATGAAATAAAATATAAATATTAGATGAAAAACTTAAGCAACTACGTGAAATAAAATAAGCTTAAGTACTAAAATGAATAAAGGTAAAACTGAAATAATTACACAAATAAATAACAAAGGCACATAAAAAAATAAATAAACTAAAATTTAAGTGAAAAATGTGAAAATGAGATTTATGTGAAAATCAATTTAAGTGAAAATATGAAAAAAATGTAATTATAAATACTATAACTGTATATAAATATTAAAATAACACTGCTACAAGGCATCAAAACATTACAATATTCAATAAAAAAGTATATACTCATTATGTGATTTTGCCAAGGATTACAAAAGTTATTTCTGTTTTTGAAAATATGTTTTAAGCAAGCACTAGATGGCAGAAAAGGTCATCTATATGTAAAATAGGGGAAATGAGCATTACCAATTAAACATCCAAATCTCTAATACTGGCAGAGAACTGAATTATTTTGAGCTCTTACCATTAGCTGATGGCAGATTCTGCTGAAGAAGAATGTTCTTCTGATTGCCAGCCTCCTTCATTCTCCCATTTGTTTCCTCATCTTTTTGGTTTATTCTGCTATTATTGTGCCCTTCAACCCTGATTCTAGCATTCTTCTCTTTATTCTCAGTCATTTTCACCTCAGCTCCACGTACATGTGCATTTATCAACCTCTTTTTTTTCACAGTCCACATTCTGTTATCTTCTCCTTTTTGCTCTTCCTCTCTTTTCTGCTTTCTCTTTTCCAAGATCTTTTTCATTAACTCAAAAGCAGAAAGAGCTGGACGGGACCCAGTGGATTTATTCTTTGTGGCTGATTGCTTGGGTCGTGAACTCCCTGTAATGCACTGCACCTTTAACGTACTTCCTTCTAGAAGAGATTTAGTTGTTTAGTCTCTTTTAGCATGTCCCACTTGTTTCTTTTTTACAAGACTGGACTGTTTGTTAGCATGCAACTCTGAAGATTTTGACCGAACCAAAGTCTTCTGTAATGTCTTTGTTGTTTGTATGGCACACTTCACGTTGTGGCCACTAGTTGTGTTTATGACTTTCCTTAATGAACTCGTAACACAGCAGCTTGAGTCAGCTGTGCTGCTGGTGCACTTTTCCTCACTATGCAGCCTGCTAGTTTTATTCTTTCTCTTTTTCTTCTTTGGTAGCGAAGCCTCTACCTTCATCTTCTCTAATTGTTCTTTTTTTAGTTTTTTCTTCCGTTTGGCTGGAAGTTCGTCTCTCCTAGGCAGTTCTTCAATAACATCCAGCTTCCTCTTCCTACTCTGGCTTCTGGTCATCCTGCCAGATTTAGGCTTCTGTTCACTTTGCTGTCCGGTTGATTTATCCATTTTCACACCTGACACCTGCCAAAAACATGATGGCTTCTGTGGTCTACGAGCAGATGATACTCGTGGTCTGTTCTTGGATAATGAGGCTTTTGATCCCTGTGTTGTTGTGGTCATAGAAGTGGCATGTGCATTTGATGTGTGTGTGTGGACTGTGTAATTCTGTGAGGATTGTCCACAGGTCTGGGTTCCATCTGTTATGTTGGGCACCATCCCATCTTGAACGTCTGAATCGCATACACTAACGTGTTGCTCAAACGTTCTCAGAACACGATCAAGTATGTCAGACAGCTCACCTTCAGAATGCGGTTGGGTTATACCCAGATCCGTGAGCTTAACTGGGGACTGTGTTCTTGGATGATCCATGTTGGAATCTACAGTTGCATTATTCGTTATTCCATTTTGATTGTTGGGCATAAATGGGAGCTGCGCAATGACGTCATCTATAAGCCAGTCCATTGGCTGAGCGAGGCTGCTCTGATTGGCTGCTGGGAGAGCTGCGGTGTGCATCAGGGATGGACCTGGAGGGTTCGTGGTTTTCGGATCAGGTGGTGAAATTCCACTGAAATTTTGGGAAACATCTGATTCAGGCAAGGGACGTTTGCGGGGGCGACCTCTTCGCCCTCTTCGAGGTGGAGCTGTAACCTACAGAAGTGTTGTAATTCAGAGAACATTTGAGTAACTGCTCTGTTGCATTTATAATTTGAAGGGGTCATATCACACGTTAATATTTTTATATTTAATATATTTTTATTTTTAATATACAAGTTTTGGGGTCAGTAAGATTTTTGGTTACACTTTATTTCGATAGTCCACTTTAGACATTCTACTAACTATAAGTAACTTTGTAACTACATATTAACTACATGTCAACTAATTCTCATTAATTTGCAACTACATGTCTACTAACTCTCAGAGTAGACTGTTAGGGTAGGTTTAGGGTTAGTAGAATAAGTTGACAAAGAAAGTGTTAGAAGATATTAAGCAGACAGTCTACTAATACTCTACTAACTGCTAGTTGACATGTAGTTGCAAAGTTACTTACTGTTAATATAATGTCTAAAGTGGACTAACAAAATAAAGTGTTACCAGATTTTTTGATGTTTTTAAAGAAGTTTTTTTTAGCTATTTTTTTAGCTAATGGCTGCATTTGTTTAAAAAAACTACAGGAAACAAAACCAGTAATATTGTGAAATATTTTTACAATTTAAAATAAATGTTTTCTATTTTAATATATTATAAAATATTAATTTATTCCAGTGATGTCAAAGCTGAATTTTCAGCAGCCATTACTCCAGTCTTTAGTGTCACATGATCCTTCAGAAATCATTCTAATATGCTGATTTAGTGTTCAAGTAACATGTCTTATTATTATCCATGCTGAAAAAAGTTGTGCTGCTTAATATTTTTGTGAAAACCGTAAACATGGTTTTTCATGATTCTTTAAAAATAGAAAGTTCAAAAGAAGAGCATTTATTAAAATAGATCTTTTGTAACATTGTCGTTTTTGTTCAGTTTAATCCATTCTTAGAGGTCTTGCTGACATCAAACTTATGAATGGTAGTGTATTTTTGATATTTTAAGTATTTCTTCAACATGTATGTAGGTGTCATGCATCAGTGCATTCATCTGTCTGACATTGCAGAAGTTTTAGTCTCACTGAATGGACTTTTCTTAAGCTAATTTTCCTCAAAAGATCAAGGAAAATTAGATTGCTCATGATATGACCCATTTAAATCATTAATTCAAACAGAAGTAAAATAACAAAAATGTCATACCTCCACATCTGAAGATGTCGTGAGACACCTACCTGACACACTGGTTCTACCAATCTGCCTCTGCTCCCTGTCTGTCTCTGCCTGGATC